ACAGATCCATCCCATGACCTGCACCGACTCGGGGCCCCATTGACCCCAGCCCCACTCCCTCCATCACTGTGGGGTCTTTGATCTACCCCACCCATGCCCCTTCCCTCCCCCATACCCCTTCCCCTTCACAGACTTGCCTCCTGGGCACTGCTCCACATGCTGCTGGGCTGCGTTCCTGGCTATGTGCAGGCTGCAGATTCATGTCTATGTCTGTGCGTGCCCCTCTACACCTGTTGCAGCCACCTGGAGTCCATGCCTGGGCTGCCCTACAGTCCTCTGCATTGCCACCGTGGGGCAGCCCGGAAGCGGCGGTGACAGCAGTGCAGTGGAGCCCAGGTGCAGACTCCAAAACCATGTGTGCAATTAACACATTTAAAAAAATGAATGCAAGCAACAATTAAAGCATTAATCACACATGTGAATCATGATTGAGTGATAGCCCTAATAAAAATGTCTATGCATAGGTGTTTTTCAAATTAAGTATATAGATTTTTAGTTATTATCAACATAACATTCAATGAGGAGGCAGAACAAATTCTAGTTGAAATAAGGAGACTTAGATCTTAAAAATAACTCTTACATAATGACTTATTGTTTGGTTTAGAGTAAATCCCCTGCATCTCATTCTCTCTTTCTCAGAAATAAGATAAACAAAAGATCCAAAAGGCTTTCAGAAACTCTTCAAAAGAAAGGGAAAAAAAGTAAATCCACAGTGTCTTAAATATAAATCTCGTATACCAGAATACTGGTTGAGATTTTCAATGAACTTCAGGAGATTTATCCTAGGAGATCTAGGATATCTTCCACTAATAATAATGCTTTGACAATTTCAGTTATTATTCTTAATGGCTTTGGGTCGATGTGGACCACAAAAACTAAGATGCAATCAAAAATTTCAAAAACAGTGATAATAAAGAAGTAGATCAATTGACATAAAACAGAATAATGATATCCAGAATGACTCTGGCTTTATTCTGGGATACCAAAAATGCCTTCCCGTGACCATAATAATAAATAGGCAATGCCTTTGATCTCCCTGCAATCTTAACTTTGAAAGACAAATAATGAAGGCAGGAAAGCCTAAATCAAGCAATTGTGCCCTAAACATCTATTTCCATCTGATTTGAGTAACTTTTGAGATGCCTAGAAATATAATTTAGAATTGTTCTAAGAACCTTCGGAGTTCTAGAAATGGATAACACATTACTGAAATGGACAGCAGTGTGTTTTCTTTCTGAAGCAGAATCAAGATTATCTGACCACTCGTCTCTAGTCCTCTTAATATTGTCTTAAATACTGCAAATCTGAGGATAGTCTCAAGCTCTGGATTTCTTTTTTCCTTTCCTCATCAAGAAAGGAGATGAATATCTTCTGCTTTTAATTTTAATGTTTGCCAACAAATGAATTATTTCTTCATCATATGGGAGCAGTGAAGTTTTCCCTCATCATTCTAATGAAAGTACATTTTGGGAATGCTCCAAAACCTATTGAAGTCAATAGGAGAGTTTCCTTTTACTTAAAGGGAGTTTGGTTCGTGCCTTTTACTAGCATCCCTCATGTGGAGAAGGTTTTCTTTTATGTGTCTGTGCACTTTTTTTTTAAATTTAGTTCCTCAGTTCTTTTGAACTGCTTAAATATGATGTCTGGAAAGAGGAACCTGTGAAGGACAAACATGGGTGGTGTGTAAAAACACTCAAAGGTAAGGAAAAATACAAATTGCTTATGTCTCCAAAAACATTCATAGCTGTAATGCATAATAAAAAATAAAACTAAACAAACAAAAAAACCAGGCCTAGATCCCATCTGATACTATTTGGCTAACAGCTGATTTATACTTTTTCACACTTTGCAACAGCTTGGATACTTCCCAGATGCTATGAACTGTGTTGGGATTTTCAATTTACTTCTCAGGTAGTGGGGATCACGTGTTGTAAAGGTTAGAGGGGGACTGTGTTGTAAGCGGAATCATAACTTAAGACTGTAAGCTTTTTGGGGTGGGGACTGTCTTTTTGCTTCATATGTGGAGTACCTGAAGCAATGGGGTCCTGGTCTATAGCTTGGGCTCCTAAGGGCTATGATACTACTATGACAACAAGTAATACTAGTATATTCTAGTTCAGGGGTTGGTAATGTTATTGGGCAGTGGCAAAAAATCCCACACCTCAATTTGTATGTTGTTGGCATGCTGGGGTGGATGGCGGGGGAGCCGCGGGGGCCTGATCCTTGTTGTGTCAGTGCAGGCCTGACCCTTTCCCTGCCATCCACCCCGAGGCATGCATGCATCCGCTACTGGTGATGAGCTGGGCCAGGGATGAGCTGGACCCCACTGCAGCTGCTTGCAGCCTCCCCGCTACCCTCTGCAAGCAGCCCAGGCTCCATGGCTGGTGGCAGGGGCCCGTGCAGCTGTGATACGCCAAGCAAAATGGTTTTGCGTGCCATGCTCTGGTATGCATGCCAGAGGTTGCTGACCCGTTCTAGTCACTCAGAACTCTAGGTACTCACAATTTTTGGATCCTCATGTGGTACAGACTTGTGAGAAAAATCAGTCTTCTGTTTCTGCCTCAGCTTTTCCCATAGTTAAAATGGACGCAGTAATGTTGCATAATATTATTTTGTGAGACTGGATGAATTAATGTTCGTAAAGTGATGTGAGGTCCTCAGATGAAAGGTACCAAAGTACGAAGTACCATTATGAAACCCAAGGGTGTTTAATCTGTCAGTCATAGTTAATTATTAGAACAGATTTAACTCATGAACTATTTGTTGGCTGGCTCTAGCCATATGACTCTAGCACTTGATATTTACCAATAGCATGTTCAGAAGACACCCTTGTAGTCTAAGGACATTTTTTATTTAGCGTGAACTCGATACTTAAAGTAAAATCAGGGAATCATGAAACGGCAATCTAAATCTAGCACGAAGGATCACACTATGTAAAACCCACTGCATTTTGTCCCATTTACTTCTTTTTTCCTGTTTTTTTAAAGCATGCATCCTGTTTGCAGTGTTACCAGCTGTTCTCCTGAGCTGTAATCTGGTCCTCCCCCCTCTATTCCCCTGTATCTAGAGTTCAAAACCATAAAGAGGGATTTTTAATAACAGGGGCTGATATGGAACTATGAAGGAAAATGTGTGTTTGAAAAAGTCTTTGTGTGTCTGCTGTTGGAAATAAATAATAAATCTCTCTTGAAGTTGTAAATCTCATTTAACCTCAAAAACAGATTGAGATATAGGTCAGCAACCCCCATGGATACAATATACTGAGAAAATATTTATTGTGCACTGTCCTCCTATAGGATATAGCATGTGCCTTCTCCCCTCAAACAGGGAAAGTATGAAAAAGTTATGGGACCACAGTATTACTCTTTCCTACCACAGAAAAGTTAGTGGGAACAGTGCTAGCTTGTAACAGCCCTTTTATTCAAGGAAATGCAAGGGTCAAGCAGCAAGTCACAACATCTAGGAAAGAATTCCCAAAAGCCACACAGAGATTCGCAATATTACATCTCTCCTCCCCTCCCTGTATCCCTTGTTCCAGGTTGAGAGTCACCCTTCATTGGAGGGATGTGAGTACAAAAGCCTCAACAGTATGGCTTCTTTGGAATGCCAATGACAGGAGTTTCTGAGACCCAGATTTATGGTAGAGATGTGATATCCTGTATTCTATGTGAACCCCAAGGAGAGTTTTTAGGTCTGTGGACATGTCCTATGACACATTCAAGCACAGGGGGATTGGTTCAAACTGGGAAAAATTTCAGGAAAACAAACACTGCAATGATTTCTTTGGTGATCAGAGGATGATCAGGTCCAGACTTAGGCTCTTCTCATTGGGTGCTTGTACACAGTGGGGGTTTAGTCCTCAGGGTTTTATTCTATGCCCCCTAAATTGAAACAGTGGGTTTTGAATTGAAACCCACCATTTCAATTTTTTCATCAAGTTACGGCAAGGGACCCGATCCCTTTTTTTTTTTTTGTCGGAGCTGGAGCCTGCCCACAGCTGGGGGGTGAGCTACCAGCAGGCTGAGCAGCCCCATGGCTCTGGAGGGCCCTGGTCCTTCCCTACATGTCTGCAGTGTCCCCCAGGGCAATCCCTGGCAGGCTGCTAGACAGCCAGCTCAATCCAACTGTTCCCCAACCCCATGCAGGAACTCCCAGAGGGCTTCCAGTGGGCAGGCTTGGGGAAGAGTTGGATTGGGGCAGGTGCTGCCTTCCAGCCACAAGAGAGGTTGGCAGATTCCACCAAAAAAAAATCGGGCCCCTTGCTGTTTCTGCCTTCAGCAGGCCGCTGCAGCCTGCAGGATGGCTAGGGCTGCCTGGGAATGGGCTGGCTTGCCCCAGGGGCTGTATGGGAAGGCAGCAGAAGGGTAGCTGGGTTTGCTGGCTGTGGGAGAAGGAGGCAGGGATGGTGCATGGGGTGCTGGAAGCCTGGGCAGGCTGCTAGTTGACCGGGTACTGACCCGGCTCGGAGGTGCCCAATGCAACACTTCCCCGAGATTGCCTAGGCTTCCAGTGCCCTATCCCCACCACCTTCTCCGGGCATCAGCATGCCCAGCTTGCCCCAAGTCAGGACGGGGAGGTGGTAAGAGGGCATTTGGGTGTGCTGGCAGCTGGAGAAGGCAGCGGAGACAGTGCATAGGTGGGCTTGGGGAAGATTTGGATCGGCTGCCTCTGAGCTGCAGCAGTACTCGGCCAGCTAGCAGCCCACCCAGGCTTCCCTGTGTTCAATCTCTGCTGCCTTCTCCTGCTGCCAGCAAACCCAGCCTTCATCCTGCCACCTTCCCATGCAGCTCCAAGAGCAAGCCAGACCATTCTCAAGTGGTCCCAGCCTTCCTGTCAGCTGCATGGGCCCACTGAAGGCAAAAGCAGTGTGGGGCCCAATACTATTTTCTGCAGAGCCTGCCCGCCTCTCCTGCGGCCAGGGGGATAGCTGACAGCTGCATTGTTTAATCTGCAACTTTGCAAACTAAACTAGATCAAGATTAGCTTAATTTGCAATGATGCAAACTCATTGAAAACCCCCAAAACTCTTGCATGTGTACAGTATGATGCCATTAAGTCACACAAAATGACATTTTTGTCACGTGTACATGGTAAAAGTGTCATGTGTACAAGTGTTCCAGACCTTTAGGAGGGAAGAAAGTAATGCTGTGCTCCTTCTCTTCATCACTTATTTTTCCTGTTCTGTAAATAATTGTGTGAACATTGTAGTATGGAGGTGGTCTTGACATTTCTAAAGTACTTTAATATAATGTTTTATGTTCTAAGGTCTTAAGGCAACTTTTTCTCTTGCAGGTGAAGCAGGTCTTTTGGTTGCCCGAGTGTCTCCGTCAACCCCGTTTGATGGGTATGCTGGAAATCAAGAAGCCTCAGAAAGGAAATTGCTACGAGATGTATTTGTGAAAGGAGATGTGTACTTTAACACTGGGGATCTCATGCTGATAGACCAGGATGGCTTTGTCTACTTCACTGACAGAGTGGGAGACACTTTCAGGTGCAGTATGAAGTTCACAGTAATAGCAGTTGGATGGAAATACACATACAGCATTGAGTTATTGTTCACTCTTGTGCATGCTGAATATTGGTTTTGTTTTTGTCAGAAGCTTTAAGGGAAGCTTTTATTACAAGTTTTGAGCAACAGTCACCAGCGTGCTTGATTTTATATGAAAGAGAGAAACTGTCCCTGACCTCTGGTTAGAGGTTGGTTTAGGTTTAGGTCTTAATAAATTGAATAGCCTCAGTGTTTAATAATGAGAGCTTTGTTGGCTCTAGCTTTTGATCTCTATGATGTAGCTTTTTGAAAATCCTATCCCACTTCTACCTGAGAAGGCCTACATCTGCCACTCCTTATCTTCTCCTCAGGCTCAATCTTGCCCTTGAGCCTTGAACCATCTTAACCTTGTATCAGTGCTTTGTAATTTGTGAATCCACCTTAAGATCCAGCTTTCTGAAGTAAATTACTGGGTAAGTTCCAGAAAGGGAACAAAATTAAACAGGCCCAGGGAAGGTCAGTCATAGGCAAATCTGACAAGGCTCCCAGAGGTGTAGAACTCTTGAATGTCTAGGTCAGAAGAATTTTCCTATGTCTTAAAGGTGCATCTGCAGAAGGGAAAGCAAATCCAAAATGCTTTACTTAGCTCTTCTTTTCACTTATAAATAACAGTGACATAATAATGGCAAGTACCTAGTATATGTAAACATAAATATACAGCATGAAATATGTCATGTGCTTTTGATACAATCTTTTTCCTTAGATGGAAAGGAGAAAATGTTGCCACTCTAGAAGTCGCTGAAGTCCTTGGTATGTTGGACTTTGTTCAAGAGGCCAATGTATATGGAGTGAGTGTAAAAGGTAAGAAGATTTTTATACTTTCAGAATGTTAAAATGGCAGCAGCAATATACTACTTTCTTATTATACTCTTCCGTCTGTTTAACTTGAAGGATAAGTTAACTCATATATAAAAGGCAATCAGTGGGGCCAACTGAACAACTCAGGATTTACTTTCTCAACTGTATTTCAAAATCTCATTTTCAATGTAACAATATTTGATCCACAGGAAATAGTGAAAGTCTCTATGGATGGGCAGAAAAGTCAAGAAGAATTTAAAAGGGATTGATAGCAGTATGAGAAATGCATGCATATCTGGAATGGCTTGTCCTTGGCTCCTCAATATATGGCTAGAGAATAAATATTTTTACTATTGGAATGTACCACACGGCATGACATTTTAAACAATTTTCCCAAAAAGCAGATACTTTCCAGACTCCCTACCAAGTCTTTATTTATCTCACATTCCACAATTACTTTGTTTTGAACAGTTGAGATAAGTATTACATACTTAATTACATACAATTATACATGTGGAGAGTTAGCAAATGATTTTCCAATTTGTGCAGACTAGGGCAAATGGAGCTCCCAATTGGATACAAATAGCTTGGTATTAAGTACTATTGACAGGTAAGTCTGCAGAAGGATTACTGCTATTATCTGGTAGAGCATGGCAGTAAATACCATGCAGCTCTTCAGATTAAAAGAACCTACAGCAGAGCTGCCTGGCTTTTGGGAATATCAGTTTGATTGCCGTGATCTGATACCATTCCATGCATTTATTACAACTTTAGGCTCAGAAAATCCCAAAGCACTTGTCAAACACTGTGGGTGCTGACAGATGTATCTTGGCCATGCTCTAACTCATCGCACTTTATACAAAGCACCATGAGTTAGAGCTACCCCTGCCCCTCAACCCAACAGACGTTCACTTGTTGGGTCAGGGGGGCTGGAGACTGTCTGCACTGGCCAGCAGGCAGGAGCACTCCAGAAGCTTCTAATGAGGCTGCTAAACCGCCTTTCTTCCCAGCCCAACCTGCCCCCCACCAGAGTTGCCTGTTGGGGTTTGCTGCCTGGCAGGAGCTGGAGGGGAGAGTGGAATGGAACTTCCCTGGCTTACAACCCCCCCCTCCCCCGGCAGCTATCCCAGCTGGGGTGTTGGGGGAGCCAGGCTGGGCCCACAAGGAATGGGAGCTCCATTCCATGCCCCCCACTCCAGGTCAGGCTGGGGAAGCTGGCAGCTTATGCTTCTCCTTTGCCCCTCTCTGCTATGCCTGGTTTGAGCTAGAGGGGAGAGGGCTGGAATGGAGCCCCCTTGCCTTGTGGGCCCAGTTAGGCTCCCCCTCAATAGCCCAGCTGGGGTAGCTGGGGGGCAGGCTGTGAGATGGGGAGGCTCTGTTCCACCCCCCCACCTCCAGCCAGGTAGCAAACCCCAGCCGGCAACTCAGTGCTGCTCCCTCTGTCCTCCTCCCCCTGTTGACAGCCCTGGGGGAGGGGTTGGGCTACATCAGTCCAGCCTGCAAAACATGAAAAATGAACCCTGAAACAAGTTCCCTAAGGAGCTCTAAAGCATAGCACCTTCATCCAATAACTCATGTGAGGACTGTCACAACCCAAAGTTGTGGATTTTTTAATTGTGTGTGCTTCGGCACCGCTAAATTATGTTCTCGCCGAATTGGAGCTCTTTTGCACGACGGAGTGTTCTGTTGTAATGGAGAACCCACGTGCAGAAAAGTGTTTCCCGCCGTTCTGTAGCCTTCTTTGCATTGTGCATGACTTTTGCTTGGAGAGAAAGACGAGAAAGACGGAGAGACGGATCTCTAAGCGCTGTGGGTCCTTTCGAACCCAGCGCATCTTTCTTAAGAAGGCGATAGAGGCTCCAATTGCCGAACCCCCGGAGCCTAGCAAACTCCGGGGCACCACTTACCGACAGCCTCTAGCCTCTCCCCGTCACCGATCGCAGCCCAGATGAATCCCTACCCTAGAACCCAGTTATCGACACCACGGAGTCTAAACCACTCCGAGGATCCTGGGAACAGAGTTTTAGAGTCCTCCAATGAGGAAGGAAGTGGAGCTGTACCTGGGAAACTGTCCAGCCGGCACCGCGACCATCTCCAGTGTAAGTAAATAATCTTTTCAATCAACCATTACGCCTCCGTGACTGATTCTAGCTCGAGCGTATTACTCCACCCCGCGACTTTTCTCCGGCCCTGCGTGCCCGGGCTGCCGGCCACAGCCCGCGTGCACACAGACGGGCCCAGCTCGTGCCCGGCGAGGACGGGACTGGGAGCCGGCCTGCACAAGGACAGTTAATTTTTTGTGTGACTGGCCATTTTAAAAGTGCTCTGCAGCCGTGCATGTGTCACAGCACAGCTGTAGAGTACTTTCAGGGGCCCCAATAGCACAAAAAGTGCAACTTGTGTAAGTGCCTTGTATTTGCCAGTGAAATTGTTGCACCCAAATCTGCTCTAATAAAGAACAGCCATAATCTCACCATCATAGCTGCTTACTGAATGAACTTGACAAAGTGGATTGGGTGTATGGGGCCATGTCATCTGTTTGTTGGGCTTGAAAATTTGACAGCAGGGGAGTGCTGGAGAGCCCCAAGGGTGAGATGACACAGTGCTGAGAGTAGGATCTGGCTTGAAGGACAGAGCACCATTGATATAGAACAGGGAAAAGAAAATGTACTTTTTCTACATCATCTGCATCCCCTTGATGTGCCCCAGTTGGCCCCATGATAAGCCTGAGCCCACCCCATCACATCTTCTGTACAAGGCTTGTGGGACAGTATCCAGTTAGCAGTGACCCATGCAGTCATTAGCCACTCCAGCCACAGCACAGAATTTAGGCAGTGCAGGGGCCTTATGCTGTCCCTCCATAACACACGGTTTTCACTCTGAAAGGATTCCAGATAAACAACAGAAATGGCTGGCATCTTTTACATAAAATCCTTGTTCTGAAATGCATTTAAAATGTTGCAAAATGAAAGAATGGATCTTACCTTGCATAATCCTGAAAATGGGGGAGAGCATTCTCAGACCTTACTTATTGTACACTGGGCAAAACCCTGTCTAAGCATTAGTAAGGACTGTAAAACTGAGGAATACAAGATTATTTTTTTTATTAGGCGATGGCGTGTCTGTAAGAATTTTTTTTTCCTTTTTTTTTTTTAGGTTATGAAGGAAGGATAGGGATGGCAGCTATAGTTCTTATTTCTGACCAACAGTTTGATGGAAAGAGACTTTACAAACACGTCATGGACTTCCTGCCAAGATATGCCCAGCCACAGTTTGTGAGAATCATGGTAAAAAAAAAAAAATCTTCTTTCCTATGCTTATGATTTTGTTTCTCCTGCAAAATGGCCTTCTCTTATTGAACCAACAAAGCCACTTACAGACAGCTTAGCTTCAAAAGTTAGTTAAGAAAGGAAATGAAAAAATCCTAACAAGTTTTTAAATATTTTAATGTTACTCTTCTAAACATAAAAAAGTATGTTTTCAATAATTCATGAAAAATATTTCACTTTATGAATCCATTCAGTACTAAATATCTTAGGTAATGCTGGTAACACTGGGTAAGAAATTATGTTTCCCATTAAAAATTGTGCCACTATACAAGTGAGCAAATGCAGATGTGTGATAACACCAACCATAAATAAAATGAAGACATAAACTAATTTAAAAGCATTTCCCATTGTGCATGTCCCTGAAGTGATGATTATTAATTATTACTTATATACATTCAAAGAGTGACATGGTAGTTTACAAAAGATAAAAGGACACACATTCTGCCCAGAAGACATTACAATCTAAGGGCCAAATTGGGTCAGCTGGGATGGGGCTACGGCCAGGAGTGCGATGGAAGGGCAGGGCTGGAAAGACCCCAGGATATTGGGGCAGTGACAGCACAGGGACAGGGCTGGGCCAGAGCTATGATCCACTGCCTGCACACCCCTGTGATAAGCGCAGGTTCCACAGGCAGAGACATGCAGGGAGTGGATTGCGGCTCTGCCATGGCCCTGCACTGTCACCGCCCCAAGATCATGGCCTTGGATCCATGAAGAATGGCCAGGAGCTGCACAGGCAGAGGCGCCTGGGAAAGGGAGTCCAGCTGCTGGCCAGATATGCCATTTTGCCCACCACTTCTGTAGACAGTGTACTTGCCTAGGGAGCAAGTTCTAGTCCCCTCACTCAGAAGGGGCATGAATCTACACATTTCATGCTTTCTAATATAGCTTTAATCACAGGTAGATAAAACTAACTTCCTGGCAGTGGCAGCAGCCAACAGTATTTCTGTACAGGCAGCAGCAAGAGTGACTTGACTTCATGCCTCATTATATTCTACCTGATTCCTTCTAAACTCTTCATTCTACTGGTGCTAATGACCCTCTTTCCTTTTAAATGGTCTTCATGTTACACTCATCAAATTAGCTGTTCTTTTGCAATGCTGCTGTTTATGAGCTGCTCCTGGTAACGTAGCTCTTATTTCACAGCCCTGAAGATTGTTTTTAACTTATCCCAATGAAGTGGTATTTGTTTTTACTTCACTCTTAGACTGAATAATATATCCCTAGGTCCCTAGTGTATTAGTAAAGCTTTGAGTTTCTTTTTACCGGGAGAGAAATGTGTGTTGTGTTACATAGGATGATGAATCACACCATGTGCATTATCCTTGTCCAAACCCTAGATCTGCCTATGTCTCCAGCCCTCCCCTTGCAGCTGAAACCACTATACCTTGCACTTAATAGTCATTGGATAAAATAGATAGAAGGCAGTGGGGAAATTTCTGTATCCCGGAAGTAGGACCACAAATTAGGGCCAGGGTCCTTCTTTCATCATGAGCAGTTGCTACTTCACTGAGTAATGCACCTTTCTCCTGGACCCACATAGCTCCTTCTTTCAGCTGCAGATTCAGAGAGAAAGTTCTGAATAATGCCTAACCTGTGGCCTGGTGGTTAAAACCTTCTGTTGGGAATCAGGAGACACAGGCTTAAAATCAGTCTGGTTGAAGGAAGCCCTGAAGTTTGGTTTCTTCTACCCTGGGAAATGCCTTACTAAGCTACTGGGTTAAAACATGGGAGAACTCCCTTCCATACCATCCTAGCCAACAGCATACAGGGTTGTATTAACAGAAATATACCTTGCAGATTAAAGAAAGTGATTCTTCACTCTATTCAACACTGGTGAGGCCTCACCTGGAGTACTGTGTCCAGTTTTGGGCCTCACGCTTCAGGAAAGATGTGGACAGGTTGGAAAGAGTTCAGCACAGAGTGACAAAAATGATTTTCCTAGGAAATATTACTCATAAGGAAAGGTTGAAATAGCTAGGGTTATTTAATCTGGAGAAGAGAAGATGGAGGGGGAGCAGATTTGATAAGAGTCTTCATATATCCAAAGGGCAATTATAGAGAGGATGGAGACAGGCTTTTCTTTGCAGCTGTATAGGACAGTTTTCGGAGCAATGGCTTCAAGCCTTAGCAGGAGAAGTTTAGGTTGGAGACTTTCTGATTGTGAGTGTGGTCAAGCATACAAGCAGGCTACCTAGGAAAATTGTGGAATCACTGGAAAATCATTGTAAATTTTCAAGTGCAAGTCGGATAGACACTTGGCTAGGATGACTGAGTCAGGAATAATCTTGCCTTGAGCAGGAGGCTGGATGAGATGACCTTGTGAGGTCTTTTCCTGCCCTACTCTCCTGTGATCCTAGTCACGAGATGATGCCTGGCTACAGTTTCAGGCTTTATCTAGTCTCATGCACATGCATAGGCTGGTGTATGCCACTGCATACCTACCTGGACAATATACAGCTCTACTGGGTATGTTCAGCAAGCACATGCTGACTTCCATATCCAAATATTATTCAAGTACTAAACACTTGAGGTTACATTGGCTGCATAAATGTCATTTAGGCACATAATTGTGTCTGAAAACAAATCACTCTCAAACCAAGATGTAGGATGAAGCTGTATTACAGAGAAGGACTGGAGAATGGAAGGAATAATGAGGGAAAGGACAAAATGAGTATGGAGTAATTTGTGAAGGTAGTGCATAAAGAGAGTAGGCAGGAAATTAGTAAAATATTTAGTTTTAAGACTTCAGTAGAGCTTTTGTAACTTATAGACGGGAAATTTACCTGATAAAATGCCTTTAAAATGCTGTCTGTGTAGATTTACAGTAAGTCAGAACACCAGTAGATGAGCTGATCAACAAGATGCTTTAGAACAACAGTGCCCTCTGCTGGGAAAATAGTCATTGAACTTTTCTTTATGGAACTCCAGGGGTTCAATATAGAAAGGGACAACAGATATTTCACTTTCTGTGCTCCACAAAGATGGCAAAGATTTGACTCTGTTTATCTGTCCTTTAAGCAGTAGCTTGAGTTTATGCCTTTTAGTTTGTTACTAAGCCAAAAGCCAAATATAATGCAGGTAATCCTGCAGTACAAATAGATATGCCTTGAAGCATCCAACTGTCATTAGCAAACGGATCATTCTTCTTAGGAAAAAGATTTTGGAATTTACGGATTCAGGAGAAAGCAGCTTGGTGCATGGTAAAAATGAGTTGTTGTATATTTATGCAATTATAGTTTTAGTTCCTTTCAATCCAAATAGAAAACCGTAGCTGAAAAATCATATTTTTGGCTTTTTGTTAATTTCATTTTGTGTCTGAAACTGAAAGTGAAATTAGTAAGACCTTTCCACATAGCAGCAGAGGAGTCATCATTTCATTTTTTTTAATGGATAAACCAAATTTTTCACCAGTACTGAAGTTTTCATGCAGATAGTCTTAATTTTGAAAAAAGAAAGAGCTTTTCTATCAGAAATTCATTCCCACAGAAAACTACATATAATCCATTTTTTTCCCTAAAAAAAAATTAGTGGCTGTTTCTTATTAACTTTTCAAATCTAAACCACTACAGCAATATGGACAATGTGGAAATGCAAGTTCTTTGGCTAATAACTTCAAATTAAAACCAGTGAGTAATGACTGAAAGTTATTACCAGCTAGCAGCCATTCAGTGCCTGTACAAAATGCCAGTGTGGTTACTTTCACAAAAACTGCCAGTACAGGAAACTAAGGGCACAGATGAAAGTGACAATTTTCACCCAACCTGGCTACAAAAAGCGGTCTATAGCCATGACCAAACACAAGTGCATGGCTGCAGACTGCTTAAAAAATGGCTGATTGGACAAAAATCTGAACCCTCAATTCATGAAGGGTCAGATGAAGACATTTCAAAACAGACTGTCTTTTGTAACTTGTCTGCGCTATCTGCCAGCCTTGCGATGTTTTCAGACTGGGAAGAGGGGAAAGAGAGAGGAGGGAGTTCGGTTTGGGGGTTTTCCAGTCCCTGCTGGAGAGTTGGGCGGGTGTATTAGAGCCCCCCACTTCAGGAGGGCTCTGATACACCCGCTCCACCCTCCAGCAACAGATGGGGAACCCGTGGCATAAGCTCTCTCTGCTCCCTTTTTCCCTCCCATTCTGAAAGTCAGGGCTAGGAGAGAGCAGAGGCCATTGCCAGGGGAAACTGGCTGCAGACTCGCAACCAGCAGCTAGATTCCTCTTCCCACTGGAACCCAGAGTGAACTTCAGTTTGGTTCAGGGAATTGTTGGACCTCAGAACGCTTCCTGCAAAGTGTTCTCAGTTACAACAGGGAGATGCGCTTCTGTCTGTGCCCTAACTGGCAAACGTATTAGTAGACTCAGTATAGAACCTAAAGACTGACCCCTGGAGAATGGGGGCAGGGTGGATTAATCATATTACAGATCAAGAGAAAAACAAATAGGTTCTTAAAATGAGAATGAAGATGAAGTCTTTACTACATTAAAAGTAAAAGCCAGAGGTTCTCAAACTTACCCCCTAGCATGAATCAAAATTTAGAGATATTTCATGCTCTACTTCCCTTCTCATTTGCTATTGGGTGTGGTCTACCTTACCCATGAATTCATAATCCCACACTCGTCTGCATCAGCTACAACAATTGTTTACATTAAAAAAAACCCTAACATCAGGAAAGTATTTAATGTACTGGTAATTGTTTTTAATGAATTTTAGCAGCTGGAAACAAGAGGAGAGCCAGCACCACATAATCAGCCAGCTCTGTGCAGACTGCCAGCTAGTGACCATAAACTGTAGTCTGTGAACTTAATACATTAATGGAAGTAAAATCAAATCAAATAGGTTCAATCCCAGTTGAAAAACAAAAACATATCAGTTTGCCTGTGGCTTTAATAGAGATGAATTTAAAGGAGGTTACTTTTAAAATCAGATTTTGATATTTAGTGCATTATCATAATCATGCATGCAATGTAGGTAGTTAGATCATCCTTTCCAAAGTAAGCCACAGCCATCTAAAATAGACAGCCATTTTATTCATTAATTGCTGTTTTTTTCCACTGGTTGTGTTTAAGTATTGAATAATGCACTTTATTTTCATTATTTGCTTTTAGGAGGTTATGAAAACTACTACAACTTTCAAGCATCAGAAAGGACATCTGGTGAATGAAGGATTTAATCCAGAAATTATATCTGATCCTCTGTATTTCTTGGATGAGCATGTGAAATCCTATATTCCTTTGACAAAAGAGATCTACAGAAGGGTAATTACTGGTCAAATACGATTGTAAAAGGTGCACCCATAATATTTTGCAAGATATAGAATACTTTTTCTATAGACAGACAGAATCAAAATAATAAGGCTTTTAAAAAGCCTGTTAAATTAAGTTCAACAGCAGCATAAAAACGAAATTTCTCACTTAGTGATGGAATCTGTTCCTCAAGTTATACTTTGCTTCATGGACTGTTAGAACTACACTATGTCTGTTCAAGCTATTAGTTTTCACTGCCCAGGTACATAAATTTTTATCTGATATTTCTCACGGATTCAATGCCTATTTTTGTATTACCGATCAGCGGTTTTTGACCTAAATGAGCAAAGTTCTCTCTGTGTCCATTTATGTTGTTTTTTGCTTCTAGAATTCTAATAAGAATCTATTATCGTGTTTTCATTTTTTATAACATTTTATGTAGTTATTGTTGGAGAAGATTATAAGTAACAAACAAAATGATGGACAAAATGATGCACTAATGATGGTCCAGAATAAACACATCAGACAAATACCTGCTAAACAAGATGTTATGTAAATGTAATTGTGATACCATAGTCTATGGAATAATCTTGTTGTGTTTCAATAGAAATAAATATAGAATACCACCATGTTATTACAGTATTTAATTAAAAGTGACTGATCATAATTCTTTCCTTTCCACCAGAACTGACATAGTTCAACCTGTTCACATAGATTCACTCACTATGGCACAACTTCCTTTGCTTGGTGATCATCATGGTCCTCATATGGGGTTATTACTATTTGTTCTCTCTCAGGTTTCTGTGGGAAGGGAATACCTCTAAGTTGTTAACAAGGTTTCATGAGCAATTTTCACTGGTACAGGCAGCTCATAGGATGCACTGAGCCAACACATCCCCTGGGCAGTGTTTCCTATTTATAAATGAAAAAGACCCATAAAATGGTGTGGAAATAGGCCCTACAAGCTTTCTTAAATTCATATCAGCATTTGATTACCCAGGCCAAGGGTCAGCAATCTTTTGCAAGCTGATGCTTGTGACCTGGGATCCTGCTGTAGGCTGTAAGTCTGACCCTGGCTGCCATAGGGAAAAGAGCCCTGTGTAGCAGGTTGGAGTCAGGCTGGCCCAGGTGATGTACCAGGTGGGCTGGGGATGTGGAAATATACCTGCTCACTTAGGAGGGCCCAAGAAAGAGAGACCTGGAGGGGTTTATTTCAGTCAAAGCTGTTTAGGTGGTATTTTGTGTTTGAGTTTGACCAGAGGTTAGGGTAGTGAATATAGGAGAGGTTTGGAAGCCATGGGACAGGCTGCTAGTGGCACTCTGGAAAACAAACTGTCCTGAGCAGGGATGTGAAGGGCCCAAGGTCTGAGGTAGTGGACCAGGGCTGAGGGCTTGGCAAAAGGAAAAACAGGCCATGATCAGGACAGCCAAAGTCCCAATTGGTGCTTGTTATTCCAGTGGTGCTCAAAGTACAGCCTATGGGCTGTATCTGTGGGGTTCCCGATAGGTCTGGGAAATTTCTTCAGAGGAGGAAGGAGGAAGCAGAGAGCAGTGACAGTGTTCATTGCTACAACTCCCAGAGCTCCATGGGCTGGATAACATGGGCTAGTGCATGGGTCATGTCCACGGCCAGAACCATTGCATGGAGTTGGATCCAGTGCATAGCCTTAGACCTGACTGCATGCTGGATGCAGCCCACAGACTGGCCATATACCACTCATTTGGCCTGTGCAGCCAAAAAAAAGTTGGGTACCACTGTACTAGTTCATTCCATTAACTGGTAGTTACATGGGTACTGACAACTTAAAAGAACGTAGAATCGTGGAAAATTAGGATTGGAAGGGACCTCAGGAGGTCATCTAGTCCAAACCCCTGTTCAAACCATAGATTCATAGATTGTAGAGTCGGAAGGGACCACAACGGATCATCATGTCTGACCCCCCTGCCCCTGGCAGGAAAGAGGACCGAGGTCAGATGACCCCAGCCAGGTAACTATCCAGCCTCTTCTTGAAGACCTCTAAGTTAGGTGATAGTACTACCTCTCTTGGAAGCCCATTCCAGATTCTGGCCACCCTTACTGTAAAAAATTTCTTCCTAATGTCTAACCTAAATCTACTCTTCACTAGTTTGCACCCATTATTCCAAGTTACTCCCTGGGGTGCTCTGGTAAATAACGCATCACCAATTCCCTGTTGTCCTCTCTTGATAAACTTATAGGTGGCTACAAGGTGTCCCCTCAGACGTCTCTTATAAAGGCTGAAGAGATCCAGATCTCTCAACCTCCCCTCATAGGGTCTTTCATGGAGGCCACTAATCATGCGAGTGGCCCTCCTCTGAACCCTCACCCTCTCCAGATTCTCCATGTCCCTCTTGAAGTGCGGCACCCAAAACTGGACACAGTACTGCAACTGTAGCCTGACCAATGCTGCATAGAGGGGGAGCATCACCTCCCTTGATCTGTTGGTCATGCATCTGCTAATACACGGCAAGGTGCAATTGGCCTTGTTGATGGCCTCGTTACACTGCCGGCTCATGTTCATCTTGGAGTCAACTATGACTCCAAGATCTCTCTCAGCCTCTGAGTTGCTGACAAGGTCAACCCCCAACCTATAGGTGTGCTGGGGATTCCTCCTTCCTAGGTGGAGTACCTTACATTTATCTTTGTTGAATTGCATCCTATTTCATTCTGCCCATTGATCCAACCTGTCCAGGTCGGCCTGTATCTGCTCCCTGCCCTCTGGTGCGTTAACTTTGCCCCATAGCTTGGTATCATCTGCGAACTTGGAGAGGGTGCTCTTCACACCCTTGTCCTAATCGCTGATGAAGATATTAAATAACACCAGTCCAAGGACGGAACTCTGCGGGACCCCACTGCCCACCTCCTTCCAGGCTGAGAACGACCCGTCCACCACCATTCTCTGGGTGCAGTCCCTAAGCCAGTTGGCCACCCACCTGACTGTGTAGGCATCCACTCCACAGCCTGCTAGCTTCCCTATGAGACTAGGATGCGAAACTGTGTTGAAGGCTTTCCTAAAATCCAGATAGATGACATCAACTTCAGCTCCTGTGTCAAGGCAGTGTGTGACCTTGTCATAAATGGTTATAAGATTTGTCAGGCAGGATCTACCTGTGACAAACCCGTGCTGGTTTCCTTTCAGCATCGTTTCCCCTGCTGGGCCTTCACAGATGCACACTTTGATGATTTTTTCCAGTATTTTCCCAGGGATAGAGGTAAGACTGACTGGCCTAAAGTTACCAGGATCATCTCCCCTTAAAATGGAGCACCACGTTGGCCCTTTTCCAGTCCTCAGGGATCTGGCTGGAGCACTATGAGTGCTCAAACAGCCGTGCCAGCGGCTCAGCTATGACACTGGCCAATTCCTTCAGCACCTGTGAGATGGTCCAACTAGGACCATCCCCAACTATATCATCCCAGCCAAGGCTTTATCTAGCATGGTCTTAAAAACCTCCAAGGATGGAGATTCTACAACCTGTTCCAGTGCTTACTGCCCTCCAGCATGCATCCCCTCCTTAACCTACTCTTGCTACAAAGAAGGCTCCTTGTTTAAATTATCTTAGTTTCTTTACACTACTGCAAATCCTAGGAGTCTTGTGGCCTCTGGCTTGGGGGAATCCTCTTTGTTTAGAGGCAACATGATAGGAGCAACCATCAAAACCCAACAAGCCTTAGACCTCTGATTCTTGGGCTTCTCATTGTTCCCTTACAACTTTAATTTTGTCCTAACATGTTCTTCTGAGTCCTCCCATGAGGCTTGGGAGCCTACTAAAATCACAAGGGCTGCATCCAGATGATCATGGATGTTTGGTTCCCTGGGGACAAGCAGTGGCAGCGCACCTTGCGCCATAGCTACTTGTCCCCAGGGAACGCCCATGATACCTATGTTTGGCATGCAGCAAATTACCTTTGGTGGGGTAAGAGAAGCTGGGGCCAACACTGGGGTGGTCACAGCAGCCTTATCTGGAGTCCTAGGGGCCTCCCAGGGCTGCAGCAGCAGCTATTCTGTCATGTGGAGCCTGGCCAGCAGCCAGAGCATGGCTCTGGGTGGTCCAGCTTCACTTTTGAGTGGCGTGCACTGCCCGTGTCTGCGCTGCTCCACTTTTTTTTTCCCCTGCGGGTTTTTTTGACCCCTGGATATCCAGGAGTCAAAAAAACCCACGGGGGGGAAAAAGCGGAGCAGCACACACATGGGCAGTGCACCCTTGCACTGTGAAGAACATCTAAATATGTGGTGCCACAGACATGGCCAAACTCATCTGTTTTGGCTTCCTTGGCCACATCCAGTCTCAGAAGTCCTCCAGCGTGCCTGCATACAGTGCTTGTTTAAGACAAAAAAGGATCACAAATGGTCCCTATGAGTGTTTCAGAGTTTTAAAAAAAATTACCTCCCAACAGTTTAAAGCTCAAAATGAGAGGGCCCACTGCAAATCTTTTGTATCTCTATGTATTGGGAGTTTCCTAAGGTTGATTGGATATTCTTTCCTCTCAGGTACCTTAATAAGGCCACCGATCTCTGCCAAGGTGTTTAAGTATCCTCTTCAGTCTGTTCCTTTCTCTACTACCTTCTCCTCTAACGTCTGCAGTGATTAGGTTCCTTTCCTGCAGATCTCAGAAGCTGACAGTATCCTCTCTCAAAATAAACAATCTTCCAGGTCATGATGCTGAAGTGAGAGTGCATAAAGTGTTTTGGTATTTTCATGTAATAATACATGCTATGTTAATTAATCTTATACAAACACTCCATATACATAACAGCTTCTAAGCACAGAAATACCTCTAGAGTACACAGTAGTCTGGGAGCTCCCAAAAGACAAATCACTTATGCATTTGGGATTTTACCTACATTTCTGCCCAAGTGACCAGAGATTGCATTCTCTGTCTCTTCCTTACCCTTCCTGTGTTTTCTTTTCCCAGTCTCTATTTTTTCCAGTTCTTTCTCTGCCTTCATTCTCAGGTGTGTGTACACACATGCCTCCAAAACAATGGTTCTATCTTGTGCACCCAGTCCCAACAGAAACCAGATAGGATGGCTATATGAAAAGGGCTCCTAGTTTATTCATCCATACCCCTATCACCTAGAAAAGAACAACATATATACACCTATTAAAACACCACTGAAAACAAACCTAAGATCTTACATTAAGACTTTTAGTAGAAAACTGCAAATGTGAACACCAAGTAGAATGATTGAAAAGTTATTGACTGCTTCTTGATATCAACTTCATTGAGGAACAGTAAATGTTGTTGTATTATTTCAGACCATTCTAGTGTTTGTTACTAAGGTTTCTCAGTCTTGACTGAATTTAGTTCAAGGACTAAGGACAAATAACCCAGAATATTTTACAATAGGTTATAGTAGCACAATTTTATATTTTATATGACAAAAGCTTCTGATGTGACACAGTATTTGCAGATTTTAAAATAGCACTTCATGGTATATTGCATATTAAATTATGCATAGGAACTAGTAACAAGTTATAATGTTATTTTTCAAGTTAGTGAATGAAAGAGGATACACTTTCAGTATTAGGGCATAATCCTACAGCACTAACAGTCAACCTCCTCAATAGCAGGTATAGTCACATGGAAGAAAATGAGTTGTGTGACGTCAAGAG